CTCATGAAAGCCTTTGACACTGTCAGCCAAGAAGCCCTATGGAGGAACCTTCTGAAGTATGGATGCCCATCAAAATTCATCACCATTCTTTGCCTGTTTCATGATGGCATGCAAGCAGTGGTCCTCAATAAAAGATCTATCACAGATCGTTTTGAGGTTAACGTCGAAATTAAGCAAGGCCACATCAGCACTCCAACACTCTTCTCAATATTCCTTACAATGATGCTACATCTGAGCACCAACAAGCTTCTAGTCGGAGTGGAACTAAACTACCAAATGGATGATAAACTGTTTAATCTCAGCTGACTCCAAGCCAAAACCAAGACCACCCAGACCTCAAACACTGAGTTCCAGTATGCTAATGATGCTGTAGTGTGTGCTTACTCAGAAGCTGACCTTCAGGCAATCATCAATGTTTTTACCAAGGCATACAAGAAAATGGGACTGATGCTTAACATTCAGAAGACGAAGGTCCTCCATCAACAAGTTCTTAATAAGCAGTTGCTAGCGTCAGTAATTCAGATTCACAGTAAGACCCTGAAGAACACTGAGTATTCTTGTTCCTTGGAAACAGTCTCTCACAGAAGGCTGACATCAGTGAAATCCAACATTGCCTGAAGAGTGCAGCCTTCAGACACCTGAGAAAAATGAGTATTTGAAGATCACAACATCAGATCCAAAACCAAGCTCATGGTTTATCAAGCAGTCATGATCCCCATCTTATTGTAAACAACTGAGACATGGACAATATACAGGAGACACCTCAAGTCCCTGGAGAAGTACCATCAATTCTTCTGGTGGAAGATCCTTCAAATCCAGTGGGTAGACAGACACACTGACATTAGCATCCTCTTGTAAGCAAACACCATGGGCACTGAGGTGGTAATCATCCAGCATCAACTGTGCTGGACCAGCCACATCGTACAGATGTCTGACTCCAGATTCCCAAAGCAAGTTTTATTCCTCCAGCTCAGTCAAGGCATACACTCAAGAGGAGGGCAGAGAATGCACTTTAAGGACATCCTCAAGGCTGACTTGAAAAATGAAACATCAATATCAACTCATAGGAAACTATCACCCAGGACTGCCCAAGATGGAGGAAGAGTCTGCTACAAGAATCTCAGTACTTTGAAACCTTATGATGCCAACAGGAGACAGAAAAGTGGGAGCAGCAGAAACAGCATCATGGACAGAATCAAGAATCCAGAGCTACCCACTCCACATGGAAACACATGCCCAAGTTGCAACAGAGTCTGTCAATCCTGGATTAGCCTTGTCAGCCATCTTCAGACTCACAGATAAGACAATCATGGGTCAATCATTCTGGACTGTGAGAGATTGCCCGTGATGAGACATACCACCAGCTTCTATCCTAACCGTATCATCCAATCCATCATCTACATAACTGTTATCTGCTCTGATACCACTGACCAGGATGCATACCTTGGATCTGGAGCAGGAATTCCTTTGCTTACAATACAAACCCCACACCATAACCATTCAGATCAACAGAACCATGTTCAAGCTCTATTCTGACATACTATGGTACCAGCCTGTAACAGGGAACCCTGGCCCTGTAACTGGAGAGCAGTGCAGTCCCTGTAAGGGTAGAGTCTTTATAGCACAGGCAGCCAGCAGAGCGGGGGTTGAAGGACAGCCCTGTAGTGAGGTCAGCTGACTGGGGGGCATCACATGACCAGAAGAGGGCTCTGGCCATACCTACATAAACCCTGGGATTGAGCCAGTCAGGAAGGCCAGTCCTGAGAGTCATGGAGTGCAGTGCTTGGGGCAGCAGCACAGTGGGACCCCTGAATCTACAGTGGGGCTGGAAGAAAGCAGCTTTGCAGGCCTGAGAACAAGAAATAGCTACCCTGGGCAGAAAGAGAGAGAGATACTTGTTTTGCAGGCAAGTGGCCTTTATTTTATATTAAACCCAGCAAGGATTTGGGTGTTTAACGGGAGGCTGAAGTCTTTTAATTTAAGTTGTTCTTGTGGCTTGGGTTTGGGACTAAAGAGGTAACTTGAAGGTCCTGTCCTAGGGGCGCATGATTGTCTTGAGCCTGGAGCAGGGCAGCGATGGGGGCCAGGGACCCAGCACCTGAGAGGGGCAAGGCCAGGCTAGCCCAGAGGCCAGGCCTAGAACAGTGGGCCTCTGCTGTGGGACCAGCCAAAGTAGAGGGGAGGAAGCCAGGAAGGCTAAAACCCCAACAAAGGCATGAAGGCCTGAAGTGGCCTGGAGATGTGGCCTGAAGTAGTCACCTGATTGGTGACTCAAAACACCTGTGAGGCATGGGGTGTGGTTTAGGGAAGGAATGGAGCCACGCAATTAGCCCCTAAAGCATGGACCCCTGACACCTGGGGATCATTAATGTAAGATCAGGACGGCCTCCAGTGCTTTAATAACCATTTATACCAAGGTGTGGTGGATGAAAAAAGGGTGGATTTCCCCGAGAGGAGGGTGTAAGGAATTTGCTTAGCCTCTAGGACTTTATGGCCACCCCTGCAGATGGCACCCTGTTATACAACCCCATGATGACAACAACAGAATCCCTCTTGTCTCCAACAGCCCCAGGTTTGAACATCTTGGATCCATCATTAATGACCTGCAACCCCTCCTGAAAAATGATGATCATCTCAAGGAAGCCTTGGAGACAAGCCTGTCCTACCTTACAGGCAGCCCCCAACCTCAAATGACATCTCTCCAGAAACAGAGTACCTAGCTCCTATATTCACCATGGCACCAGGTATCATTCCAGACCCAGATGCCAGCTGTGCCCCCTCATCAACATGAATCACATCATCACTAGACCAGACCAGAGGGATTATAACACTTGGGGTTCATTCACCTGCTCCTCTACCATTGTCATCTGTGCTGTCATCTGCTTACTATGCTGCTCTGCTATCTACATTGGCCAGATGGGGGTGATCCCTACACGAAAGAATGAGAATAAGTAGACACCAATCTGACATCAATTCCAGAAAGATACTAAAGTCTGTGGCAGAATACTTTAATCTTCATGGATATTCCATCACTGATCCCCAAAGAGCTGTTCTTAAACAGCAAAACTTAAAAAAAAAACTTGAATGCAAAATTGCAGAACAAGGCATCATGGACAGACCACGTTGTATTAAGTATGGTGTCAACAAAGACTGTGGATTCTTATCCCATTATCTGTTCTAGCTTCTATAACACTTATGTCCCTCAGTGGATTAACTACTTTGTTTATCCTATTTGATTTCTTCAACCCATCTTCACCTTTCTCAGCAGTGCCTCCTTCCCCTATCCTGTCCTCCCTCTTCCACCATCGTTTGAATTTAAATAATTTTATTCCTCCATATTTAATACCCCCTGCTCTCTGCAAGTCCATTCATAGTATCTAGTGAAGTAGGCTGTCACCTACAGAAGCTTATGCATTTCTGAATGAGGTGCTACCCTACCCTATCTTCTTCCTAACCTTCCCATTACTACCCTAAGCTGACTTCAGACATGAAGCAATAGCTATTGCTTCAGATGTTCAGTGTGTTTATATTTGTTATGAAATAGATTCATTCCTATTATGGAATATGACAAGTTCTTTTCTTTCATTTCATTGTAGTTGGCTATAAAACACCAATAATGCTTAAAACATTTTGGCTTTCTGTGGTAAAGGAATTACTCTGAAGTTAGAGGAGCATTGCCTGTCTCTCTGGAATGCCAATACAGTGCACAAGCAGGAGTGTAGGTAGTTATGTCCCCTGAGGCTGGCTAGTTTGTATTCCATAGTCAGATTACAAATTAGAGCCTTTTGCATTAATAAACTAAAGCCAAAATTACTATACTTTTTCCTGCCACGGTCAGACAGCCACTGCATTCTTCTTTTACTTCATTCTCTCAGAACTGAATACCAGCTCTTATAGTCTCATCTGTTTTCATGAGTGATGCAATACAATTACCTGACAAAAAGGAATGAGGACATAAACTACAATATGGATGTAGATTCAGATGATTTATCACAATACAATACAATAAACTTACCAGTTGGAATTGGTCAGTTTAGAGAAAATGGCAATCAATTCATATTTTGTCTCAAAGCAGCAACTAATTTCAAAGTTTTGAAGGATGTAGGCCAGTATTTTCAAAGCTGGGTATTTAGAGTTAAATAACTACATCCATATTTAAATATTAAATAAGGGGCTATTTTTTTTTCAAAGGTGTTAAGCAAGCACTCCCAGTTGCGTTTGAAGTTTTCATGCTCACTTCTGCCCAGCTTTTTACTGATCATGGGTACTAAATTCTCGACTGAGCTCTAAATGAATGATTCAAAGATTTTTGCTAGGAAATGCAGTAATTTTAAATGAAGCAACCATTTAACTTTTAAGATGGAGCAAAATGATATGGGAGAGGAAGTTGACTGTCATCAGTCTTAATAAAAGTTTGGTAGGGATTATAATAGGACACCAGGGTGATAGTCCCTGTTCTTATTAATAGTATCCTAACTGACAGCAAGTCAGGGCCTTAGTTTTATGTCACTTCTAAGCAATTTGTGTGATTACTGTGTTCCCATTATTATTATCATGAACTTAAATGTTACTTTGGTTCATTATGGTTATGACTGCCATTTTTTTCCATTCTGATTAATTTTACCCAGCCCACAGGGACTGGTTCTCACTCTTACATGGGAAAGGAGCCATAAGGCAGGTATCTATACAATTCAGAAACCCACTAAAGCTCATCATCCTGTCAGAATGTATAAAGAGGCCATACTATAAATGAGAACCAGATTATCTGATTGTGCAATGTGATAGACCAGGAATGTGTAAAAAGTGTAGGGATGGATAACATGAACAAGAAAGTAACATCTGAGATCCATAAGGCAGACAATACCTCTGTACTGGAAGGTTCCTACTTTTTTCTCTTTACCATGAGTCAATATAAAAAGCAAGCAATTACATCAAGTATTAGTTATGGTCCAAAACACAATTCTGTTGTCCTGGACTCTATGATGCTAATAACATCACAGACATTTAGGACTTGTCAGCATGTCCCCTGTGCTGAGCCTCAGACTGGAACTGACAAGTGATCCCTGCCCAGTTGCTCCTCCTTAGGATGATACACCAAACCTCCAAAATTAAGCAATGTAGTGGCTTAGAATATATCAGATTGTATAATCCAGCACCATGCTCAGGTTCTCTGTCTGGCATGTGCTTCTTGGTGCACCTTCAAGGTCACCCTAACTAGTAGGGCTGTGCGAAATTTCGCCGGCAATTTTGTTTCAATGCTGTTTTGACCTATTTTGAGCTCAAAACAGCAAAATTGAAATGAAACAGAGAGCTTTGAAACAGCCTCACAACAAAATGAGGCAAGCTGAAACATTTTGAAATTTTCTAAACGTTTCGAGTTTCAAAGCTCAAGCTGGGCTTGCCTGCAGGGAAACAGAAACTAAAGTAAGGAGAGGGAGGAAGAAGGGGGGTGGGGAGGACTGCTCTCATTATTGACTGTGTAGCTGGCCAGTGACTGTCATCCTTTCCTGAGGTCTCTTCCAATCCCAGTGCTCTGGGGGAGGGATGGAAAAACTGCATAAAAAGCGGCATTATTTTGCCTGTCAGCAGCAAGAACTGCTGGGTCCCAGAACCCAGACTCCCCCTGCACCTATCTCTTGACAGCTGGCAGCCTTCATGGTCTCAGCAGAGCCTAACAGGACTGCAGTTTTCACTCCCCTGTGCCCCAAGACAGACACAGTCAGTTTCACAAGCACCCATATCACAAGTTTTGCCTGTCAGCAGCCAGAGGTTCAAGGCCCCAGAACCCCTGCACCAGTTTCCTTGAAAGCTGGCAGGCCTCATGGCCTCAGCAGGGGCTAGCATGCCTACAGTTTTGACCCTGCTGTGGCTTAACACATATACGTGACATGAATTTTTTGCTTTCAAACCTTGAGGTGCAGTTTCTCTGAAACCCCTGCACCTCTCTCCTTGAAACTTGGCAGGCTTCATGCACTCAGAAGGGGCTACCAGTTCTACAAGTTTCATCCAAATCAGACCAAAAATGACAATGTAATAGGCTGTTTTGAGCTTCCTCATTATAGCCTCTGGGCAAAACAGCGAAACTGTTTCGATTAAACAAAACAGAACAGCAGTTTCAAATCAAAACAAAATTTGAAACGAAACGCTGTTCCGTCGACATGCAAGTTGAAATGGAACAGGACCATTTCGCACAGCCCTACTAACCAGTCACCTGAGTTTTGGCAGGTGCTAAATGGAAGTGAGTGGATAGGGCTTACCTCTCAACAGTAATCCTGGGCTAAGCACAGAGACAGTGAAGATGTGGCCTAAGAGTATTTTTTTAAATCTATGTAGAGAAAATATTTGAAAATAAAAGACATCCAGTGCTCTGCTAATAATTAAATAAAACACATAAAAAAGATAAAAATGAGTTCTGCTTTCCATGTGCTGTTTGGTGCGCAAGCAGTTCCAAATTGACTCTTTTTTTTATTTTATTTTCTGGTCTTGCAGACATTTCTGAGAGAGAAGAAAAAAAAGGAATTAGTCTCAGAGGCCAAGAGCATGTCATCTGCAAAGCCCATTTTAATGATGGAATGCAGCTTGTTGTTCATTCACTTTTTGTATAGGTTCTGCTTCTTTTCACCAAGGTAAACATCTCAGGAATGTCAGGATTGAATATCCAAAATGTCATTTCTAACCATTGCCTACAAATCTGACTGCTTTGTTTATCACAAAGCGACTAAAATGAGCAGCATGTTTGTCAAAGCTGGTAATATGAGTGCAGTACCTCGCATATTTAATGCAGGTCTGGTCAAGATGACTACTCCTCATGCAGCATCCTTGAAGACTCCCCTTCCCCTATTTCCCCTTTTTAAATTCTCCTCATCTAACATTTTTAATCTCAAAACCATCAACTCATCTCCCAGATCACATTTTTTATGAAAAAGGCAGATCTGTAATTATTCTTTAAACCACTCAAACTTTGCACACAATTATCATAAAACACACAACTGAAGAGATGCAAAAGACCCTGTATAACAAGTTGCCTCCTCATCCCAAAAATGTAATTATCCCCTCACCCACAGGAAAGCTTAGAAAAACAGATACGTTTTGGAGCATATCCTGTGGGACTCCAACTCATTGATAAAGGAAGATTCTGCCTATAATGATTTCATTTTGTCAATAAGAATTTTGTGTGCATGATAACCACTGGGTAGGAAAAAAGTGGCCTAAGGCATTCTCTGCCTTCTCTAGCTGTTCTAGGCATTGTGATTTTTTTTCCAAGAGAGATAATGCTGGTACTACTCACTCTGATAATAAAATAATAAATAGTAATACTACTACTACCACTAAACAGGACTCTCACTGACAGCACAGACTGATACCAGGTCACATCATCCACAGGTGACTGGTAGCGGGATATGGGGGGCACGTGCCACAGTTTTTTTGCTACGTGGGCAGGCAGCGTGTTGGGGGAAGGGGCACTAAGCCATGACACAGAAGTATAGGAGTAGATATGGGGCTTTTGGCCTGCCCCTGGCCCCCCCACAAATTGTGCCCCCTGCCCCAGACTCAGGAGACACCCCTGACATCATCTCTAACAGGGAAAACTCACTGTCTTATGCCAGCTATAGACAGAATGAAAGAAAAAAGAAAAAGCTCACATCCCCTCCAACCCCCAAGCCCAGCTATTCATTATTTTTAGCTCTAACAGACTTGTTTTTAATGTCTATGTTGCCACATCGTTCTCTTAAATCACCCTTAAATCTTACTTTTGTTGCTATAATGATGTAAGCACACTTAAAGCAGCAGTTGCCCTTATAGCAATACAAAAACACTTATATTAGTGTAACTTATCTTGAGTCAAGAACCAAAACAAACAATGCAAGTATAAAGCATTTTATTTGTTAAATTACATCTGTTAGAACTTTTACCAACATAACGATGTTGCTAAAAAATCACACCACTGGCCAATACTGAAATCATAGACCAGTGCCAACATGTCCTAAATCATCTTTATATATTATCTCTGATTAATTGAGCAGCAACCAAGAATAATAAGCATTGAACTTTGCCTTGGTAACTCAGTCCCCACAGTTGTCAGAAGAACTGATATACAGTATTTCTAGAGCCAAGTTACACACAGGTATATATGCCACTGCTATAACCAACTTGAGTTTATCAAGAAGCCAGAGAAGAAAAACTTAAACAGTTCTGAAGAAATTAAAGCTTAGAAATGAGTTTATCAAGTAAACCGTGTAGCAAGTAAATTACAATAGTCTAATCTCTTCAGATTATTAGAACATGAACCAACACTTATAAAATAGGACAATGTGCTTCATTCAATGTATGCCCTTTGCAAGATATTACCAAAAGACCTTCTATTTTTTCAGAATGGTCATTAAATTCAGGATCTGGTTCATTCAAGGGATTTGTACAGTGTACACAGTTTTTCTCCTTAATCCCAGCTATTCTCATTACCTTTTTAATATAACCAGGTACCTGACTGAAATTAACAGCAGTTGTACATCTAAATACCTTGGAGAATCTGAGAAGTGACTTGCTCAGGGTCACACAACAAGTCTATATTGACACAGGGATTTGAACCTGGGTCTTCCAACCCAACCCGCTTACTGCTGAACCAGCTCTGCTATTATAGGACTGTATGAAAGCTGTTGAGTGGCTCAGAAGTTTGATGGTTTCAGCCTAAGAACTAATGAACAAATTACAATTTTTTATAAAGCTACCAGTTACATTTTATCACAGCATCATGCTCACCATCTGTTTCCCTAGAAAGACTTAGGCTGTGAATGCACATTGCATTTGTAGTGCTATAAACACCCACGTAGCACTCAAAAGGTGAATGTGCTTATCAGCAGTGCCACAAAATGGGAGGATTTGCCACAAAAATGAGAAAGGCAGCAAACTGTCAGGCAGCCAGTACCACCCCAGTCACCAGCAATGTGCTGCCCTCCAGAGGAGACTGACAGACTGCCCAGTCTTCCCTTCCCTTGCAGGGATGAGATCAGGCTGTCAGTGACTGGGCTGCTTGACAAGCTCCCTTGGGGCAGAGGGACGGAAGAAGCAGCCTCTATTGCCTCCTTGCTGGAGAACGTACTTTTTCAGTGACTGTGTAGCACTCCAGCCAGGTGGCTCTGAACATGCATACACTCTAATTTTTGTAGTGCTACAAAACAGAGGCAGTTGCTCTGAATGTATGTCCAAGGCCTTAGGCAGACTACACTTTGGCCTTTATGACTGACCATCTGTACTTTCCAAAATAAAATTCGTTTAAAAAGCCTATAAGAAAGCATTGACAAATATAGACAAGATTCATTGCTCTACATAGAGCCAGCAAAGGGCTCGTGAGCTGCTTAAGTCCCACTTAATCTTTATTTTAGATAGTTAATGGAACTGATGTGGTAAATGGAGGGTATATCTACACATGCAAGTAGTGCATATGAATAAACTCTGGAGCTTATTGCTCAGGAGTTTTTTGCTTTTGAGCAGAATTGAACATGCGCCTGGGAGTGGAGCAAACAGGTCTGGAGCTTCTTCATGCACAGCATGTGGAGTCTGGTCAGAGCAGACCCAGCTGGCAAGGGGCCCCGGGGGTCAGCTTGCTAGCCTGGGGTTTCTCTGACCAGACTCAGTGTGCTGCAGAGGGGCTGGCTGGGGCACAGGGGTGCTTCAGTGTGGGGTTAGCCAGCAGGCAGCCTCACAGTGAAGCACCCTTGTGCCCAGCCATCAGACTCAGCATTATATGTGTTACTGTGCACGAAAAAACTCCGTAGCAGGGCAGTAATTGTAAATACAAGTACTACCCTGCTGTGGAGTTTATTAGTTTCCTGCACCTCAATAGGGCCATACATGTAGATACTGAGACATTTACTGTGGAGCTAATTAGTAGGCCTGTGAGAAGTGGCTAGTATTCACTTTGGATTTGGATTCAGCCGATTCATAGTTTCATAGTTTCTAGGGTCGGAAGGGACCTGAGTAGATCATCTAGTACGACCCCCTGCCATGGCAGAA